CTTGGTGTTCCCCCGGATAAGCTGGAGGAGGTGGCTGGGGAGAGGGAGGTCTGGGCCTCTTTGCTTAGGCTGCTGCCCCCACGACCCGGCCTCGGATAAAGCGGATGAAGATGGATGGATGGATGGATGGACTTGAACTTGTTTCATACTTATAGATGCCCCTGAATCCCCCTGTGAAACAAGTTAACGAGCTCCTCCTCTCCTCTGATAAAAAATAGGTGGTGATACAGTTCGAACGCTGATGATACGACTCTGCCTGATAAGTCTGCACCATCTTTTTTATGTTATGTTAATATACTGAAATCCCTCCGAGGGTCAACATGAAACACTGAATCGTCTGTGAATGAAGAGCTTATTTTATTTTCTGTTTTTTCACAGCTTCCTTTGAGGAAAATGTGACACATGTTGAGTCTTTGATCTCCCGTCCCATAAAAATCCTGCTGGTCTCATTCATATTTATGCCTCGGATTGCTTCAAAGTGCATTTCAGGTTCAACCAGCCTCTCTGGCGCGCTCTTGGTATGTGAGGGCTGTCATTAAGACAAATTCAGGAACACATTCATTCGCTTCTGCACAAAGTTATGTATTAGCGCAGCCGTGATGACGCTATGGGCAAAACGCTCAAAGCAGCTGACATGAAACTATCAAAAATCGAAACGCAGAAGGTTTAATCAGACAGAAACCGAGCTTCTGTCTTAATGTTTATACTTCACTCTTTGAACAAACATTGCATTTTGACTTTAATAGCTTTAAGCTTTAAGAGCTTTATCTGCCCTCAGGGGCAGCCCAGGATTTATGCTCCAAAGCAGCACCATCGGGGAGCTCTGGATGTTTGATTTGGCAGAGTTTTAGCTTTACTTCCTGACCCAACCCCAGTGCTGTGTAAACCTGAAATCTGTGAATAACACCTGAATGTTAGGATCTGTATAAGAACAGTTTTATCAGTTAACATCAGGCCATGATTGGTCTGTTATTCCCTGCAAGTCTGTAGCTGTTTACAGTATTAACGTCAACGAGGAGAATCTGACTCACAGCCACCTGTGAGACAGAAAATCCTGAAGTAATTTGGCACCTGAGCAACATATATTGGTTATGCAACTTTACCAGACGTGTTCAGTCCTCCACAGAAAAAAAACAAGCCACCACTGTGTAACTTCACGGTGACGGAGCTGTGCATAGGTGGGATTCTTTTCTGTTAAAATGAAAACTGAAAATGTAAAAGCTGAAAACATTTCTCATGTTCTCGGCATAACAGAACATCTTTATATGGTATGCCCTCTTTTCCTTGATGGTGTTGGCTAACTGACAAACAACAGCACGAGCGGCGTACAGAATAGTTGTTCCACAGTTCGTGACAGCTCCAATATGTAGATGACAGTGCAGAGCTATGTGTCGGCTCTGCTGCACAACCACTTACATAGCCACATATTTTAGTACGTTATGTCAACATGTCCTCATCCCAACACGTAACATACCAACAATGGTGACAAATCATCGGTATGTTACACGTTCGGAGGCACGAGAGCGGGTTTGCATGAATCTATAAATGTGTTAAGATTATGATTAAGGTTAGGGCTGGAATAGAAAGCCATAGAGGTGGGAATCACCATACATCCCACGATACGATATTAT